AAATAGCGGTGGGCTACAGGGAAGAGGGAGGAATTAAAGAACAGGGACTGGGAGCTGGACAGGGAGACATGGAGAAGGAAAAAAAAAACAAACCACACAGCAATGGGCTACAAGGTAGATAGGGAGGAAATAAAAACTAGTGGCAGGGAGCCAGACAGAGAGAGATGGAGAAATACAAACAAATAGCGTGGGGCTATGGGACAGAGAACGTGGAATTAAAACACAGAGAGGGGGAGCCGGACAGAGAGAGAGACCGAGGCAAAAGTCCAGACAGGCTACAGGGGGCAGAGGGAGGAATGAAAAACTGGGGACAGGGAGGTGGACAGAGAGAGATGGAGATCGCAGGGAATAGCGGCGGGAGCAGGAAGAAGAGGGAGGAATTAATAAATAGGGACAGGGAGCTGCACAGAGAAGGACGGAGAAATGCAAAAATAGCGGCGGGGTACAGGGCAGAGAGGAAGACTTAAAAAATGGGGGCAGTGAGACAGACCTAGAGAGATGGAGAAAAGAAAAAAGTGACGCAGCAGACAGGGAGGAATTAAAAAACAGGGACAGGAAGCAAGAAAGAGTGAGCTGGAGAAAGGCAGGGGGGAACCCAAGGGACACTAGGACAGAGAGGGAGGAATTAAAAGTGAGGGACGGGGAGCTGGGAAAGGAGAGGTGAAGAAAGAAACAGAATCGCAATGTGCTATGGGGCCGAGAAGGAAGAAACTGAGCAACAGGGACAGGGAGCTGGACAAAGAGAGAAGAGGAGACACAAATAATAGCATTGGGCTACAGTGCCAAGAGGGAGAAACTGAAAAATAGAGACCAAGAGCCAGAAAAAGGAGAAACAGAGAAAGAACAAATCGCAATAGGCCACAGAACAGAGAGGGAGAAGAGCCAGAAAAAGGAGAAACAGAGAAAGAACAAATCGCAATAGGCCACAGAACAGAGAGGGAGGAATTAAAAAACCGGGACTGAGAGCAATCTACAGAGAGATGTTAGGGAACGAAAATTTAAAGAGCGATGCGTACAGGACAGAGAGGGGGGAATTAAAAAAAATAAGTAAAGGCAGGCACAGGGAGCCCGACAGAGACACACAGAGAAAGAAAAAACAGCAATGGGCTACAAGACAGATAGGGACAAATTTAAAAATCCTGGCAGGGAGCCAGACAGGGAGAGCCAGCTAAACAAATGAAATCGCAATGTGGCACAGGGCCAAGAAGGACAAAATTGAAAAACAGGGCATAGGAGCTGGAAAGAGAGAGACAGAGAAAGAAAAAACTACCGATACGCTCTAGGGCAGAGAAGGAGGAATTTTAAAAATCAGGGTCTTGAGCCGGACCGAGAGAGACAGAGGAAATAAAAATGGTGATGGGTAACAGGGCAGAGAGGAAGGAATTAAAAAACAAGGACAGGAAGCTGGGCAGAGAGACTGAGAAAGGGAAAAGTCCCGACAGGCTTCCAAGAGAGAGAGGGAGGAATTAAAAATTAGAGACAGGGAGTTGGACAGAGAGAAACGGAGAAAGACAAAACTGTGGCGGGCTACTGGACAAAGGAGAGTTTAAAAATGGGGACAGCAAGACAGACAGAGAGGAAGGAAGAAAGGAAAGACGCTATGGGCGACACGGCAGAGAGGGAGGAATGAAGAAAGTGGGACAGGGAGCCAGACAAACCGAGACAGGGAAAGAAGACTACAGCAACGGGCTAGGGGACAGAGAGGGAAGACTTAGGAAAACAGGGACAGGGAACAAGATAGAGTGACATGGAGAAAGGACAAAATAGCGATGGGCAACAGGACAGAGGGAGGAATTCAAAATGAGGGGCAGGGAGCAGGATAAAGAGAGACAGAGAAAGAAATAGACTCGCGACGTGCTACAGGGCCAAGAAGGAAGACCTTGAACAACAGGGACAAAGAGCCAGACACAGAGAGCCAGAGACAGCAAAAATACCAACGGGCTACAGGACAGAGAGGGAGGAATGCAAAAATAGTGGCCGGAAGCCGGACAGAGAGAGACGGAGAAGGAAAAAATAGCCATAGGCTACAGGGCAGAGAGAGAGGGAGGACCTAAAACATGGGGACAGGGAGCCGCTCAGAGCAAGATGGAGAAAGGAGGTACAGGGAAGCAAA